AGTTGCTTAGTCTTTAATTGGTCTTTAATCCAGTCCGGGGAGGAATAGTTGGTTCCATTCCGGTAGCCGGATGAGTATATGTTTGTACCATTCAAGATGTGATATCTGAGAACTTCTCTTCATTAAAAAACAGAAATAGAAAAGCTTTGCTGCTATTTGATCAAGAAAATCCCCATTCCAACCCAGCCTTCTAAATGCCACTGGTCCCCCCTGCTGACATTGTCCCTACTGGGGAATTCTGTCCTAGAATCCTCCCACATTGTCAGGCAGCTCTGCCATTGGCTCAAGTGGCAAAAAGCCATTTTTATGGTACTATCAAGCAGAAACTCTCAGCCCCCATCACATCATAAACAGTCAGCCCTTCTACAAAATTACTATGTTTGCCTCTTCTTTGAGATCACTCTAACCTTTAGGGATAGTCTACTTTCACTCCTCCTAGAACTAATGCTAAATCAGGGCTGATCACTTCAACTCAACCCTGAAGCCCAATACTGAATAACTTTTTTGTTGTTGCGCCAAATTGCTGTCCTCTCTAAGGAATAACCTACCAGCATAACTTGTTGGTACGGGCTGCAAACTGACATAATAACCTTAATTAGAATAATTTTATTCACGATAACCAGCCACTGAGCATACATGTTGAGTCTCCTAGCTCAAACAATGTGAGGTCCAACCATGCTGGAGTTCCAGAATTGCTCACTTTTGCACTAAATTCTGCTCTTCGTGACCTACTAAGCTGACTAGTATGTCCTTAAGTGGACAGGCTGAGAAAGGAAAACCACAAAAGCAGAATAAACACTTGCTAATGGAACAATGAACATGACCCTATGAATTGTCCAACCATACTGACAGCATGCTTAGAGAACATTTTTACCATTTAATCTAGGCATGCTGATTCTTAGAACAAACTATTGATCAGTGATAAGTAGCAGTCTTATTTTATTCAAAGGTAGATGCAGAAGATTTAATCCTGATTGGGACTGGGTGGGTGAGTGGGGCAGTAAAGGATTTATCTGTTATATGTTGGAGGAGCATATCTATGGAGTCTTATTTGTGTGGAGTTATAAATCATGGGGGGGATGCTGCATATTGAGACGGTTACCCCCTATAGCAGGAATGGACAACCCTCATTTCCTGGATTATGTGTGGTCCTTCAGGGCCACTTTCTGTGGGCACCCCAAACCTCAGACCCTCCCTCCATTTGCCTACCTCGTTGCGACTTACAGCTGCTGTAGCTTTCCAGCAGAACTAGGTTTGGGAAGGTCCAGTTGCCAAAGCTTCAACTTTTCTCCTGAGAGAGTTCTATGGTCCCTAGGTCTTGCAGGAAGAGGCTGGATGAAAAAGCCTTGTTTCCTCAAGGAATTTCATTCTTAGTGATAAAAGAGTGAAAATTGGAGGCATTACTTCTTTGTCCCTCACTCTGTTTTAATGGATATTTCATCCCCATCCCCATCCCCAAATGGAGGAGCATGTCATCTGTTCTCCCACTTTCCATCTCTATTCTGGTGCTCTTATGAACCTAAAAGGGTTAAGCCTGAAATAACCAAGGGCTGCTCCCTTTGGGACTGTCTCTGCTAATTACCCACAGTATCGTTTCCAATGAGTCTGGACATTTCTGTGCCTTTTGATAGATAGAGATAGATAAATAATGTACATTCTTGACTGTTGTCCATGTCTCGCTCCCTGATTTTGCTGCCTTTTGTCCCATTTTTGCCAGTTAAACGTTTTTGTTTGTTTGTTGGCTGATAAAAAACCATCAAGCTATATTATTTGCTAGCTGAACTGAATGGTGTGTGTGTGTGCATATGTGCGTATGTGCTCTGGTCTGGATATAAGGATCAACTGGGAGTGTGCTGAGTGCACACTAAACTGGAAAGTACCCACCATAATTTTCCAACAATAGAAATGGCACTTAGGGTTACCTTGAAACTGAACCAGAGTGAGCTAGATACCGAGCCCTGTCTTCTGGGAGGAAACACTGAAGAAATAACACCCAGGAAAATGGGAGAGTCTGAACACTGCTGCTGCTGCCAGGGCACAATGGCGAGAAGAATGGTCCCTGCATAGCCTATATCAGTGTTGTCCAAACTTGGTCACTTTAAGATGAGTGGACTT